GATAATGTTTTGGCAGTGTCAACCTGGAATCCTGCCACCACCTCCTTTTTGGAACAATAGCATGACTTAGCTAATGTTATAGGTGGGACTGATGCTGAAGAGAAAAAGGCAGTGAGTGACTGACTGGTCACCTCTCTCTTCCCAGCCTGGCTATCCACTTAGGAGGTCATTGGGATTCCTATGACTATAACATCCTTTTTGAAAAATTAGATCATTGTCTCAAAGTAGTATTGAATGATTTCTTCAAATACAGTTCTACTCCAAAGTGATATTTCTAGATGTACTCTTTATCCCAGACATCTAAGTTCTCCTTTTGGGATCATATACTTTGCATAAACATAAATTAGAGAAAAAAAAAAAAACATAATTTTCCAGTGTATCTCCTGGCTATTAAAAACATCGTTCATCTTCTAGGTCTCCTCCAGTTTAATTTTACTTTGTTGCACTGATAGGGCTTCCCATGGGCAACTATTCAGAAGAGTTTACTAATAGCAGCATTTTCTCAATAAAAAAATCTATCATATAAATATTAAAAAGTAACTAAAATTTGTTTTAATTGATTTTTGTGTCATATGTAAGGTGCTAGAAAAGACCTGTAAGGCTTGTATTTTAATGAAAATGACTCCGATCTTTGTGTCAAAATTACCAGGAATGTCAATTATGCTCTTCCCAGGATTAGCTGGGTGATTTCTAGGAGGCCTCAAGGATGTTTACTGTGAATACTGCCAGGTTGAAAGCTTATAAAGTTTTAACCAAGGTCACTTTTATCCAAATTTGTAATTTGGGTAGTAATAATTAACTAAATAGGCAATTTATAGCCTCAAAATTTCAACTTGTCTGGAAAAGCACCTGATGCCACCTTTTTCTTATGTGTTGTTGCACTCACTTTCATGATCTCATCAGTTATCATAAAGATGACAAAAATGAATATGATTTTTTTTTTTATTTTATTTTTTTTTTTTGCCGGGGTGAGGAGTGAAAGGTATTTTCCCTCAAATTCTATTTTACCAAGAAGGTCAATTCTCAGTTTAGTTTAATTTAACTGTTTTAGCAACTATTGCTGCAGATATTGGCCATGGAATTCAGTGTATACATGATCACATGTGGGAGAAGTTTCTCAGGATATAATGCAGAAAGAACTTAACAAGGGAGCAAGGGTAGAAAAAATCTGAATTTTCTGGATTTGAGATACATATTCCAAGAAAGTTCTTAATATAATATTTATATTTACTATTTACTCTTTTATATTAGTTTAAATTAACTAAGATTTTCTGCAGAAGCACTCATAAGGTGAATCTGTGCCCTCAGTAGAAGGTATGTGCTTGTGGGTGAATGCGTTAGGTCAGCAAATATAAAACTGTGCCTGGTATGCAGATATTTGCTGGCCTGACTGCCAATACATGACCTCTTGTCACCTGTAAGAGGCCGCATTGTGCTGGCGCGTGCAAACCATGGATGCAGGGAATGCCAGTTGGGAAGATGCAGAAACAAGAGGTGGTGGTGATGTCTGTTCGGTCCAGCCACTAGGAATTGCACTTCTGTCCAGGTGACTCCATAACACGGAATGTGCAACCATGGCCCAATGCCACAAGGTAGCTCTCCTGGTAGGCACTTGCCAGGGCTGTTCCATTTTCTCTCCCTTTCTCTTGCACAGGCCAAAGAGATCTTCAGTCTTTTTCACCTCAAATTTGAGAAACATCCTGTTTTGTTCTCTGTAAAGGGTCCACAGGAAAAGTGCTGATCCTGTCCAGATGGCACAGCTCAGGAGCATCCTGTGTCACCACCTGAGTGCTCCCAGAAGCAAATAGTGTCTAGACAGGGCTGTCCAGGCCAACTGGGTGGGCTTTGGCCAAAGGGACAGACTATTGCTTCCCTCTGCACAGATTGGAAAAAGCTGCATAGTGCGTGCAGACTAAGGGAAACCCCATGTTTTCCTCGGCATATCTCTTTTCACAAACAACGTTATATTTTGTCTGCTAATGCTGAGAAATATGACTTTGGAAAAAAAATAGTAGGAAGTGTGATTATTGGTGGCACTACCATAGAAAAGAATAGCAGTGCAGTTTCTTTCCACTAAGATATCTATTTTTAACTCTATCGGAAAGCCTCTATCACTAGGAACAAGGTCTATAATGATTTATGAAGAATACTTCATAACATCTCTACATCCGCGTGGCTCCAGGCCCAGTGATCCCTGTGGAGATGAACACTGCTCTCTATGGTGTGTGAACTGTAGTGGGAAGTGCCTCATAAATAGACCAGCTATGGTCACTGAAACCACGCTGCTTGAAATGACACTGAAACCTTTTTATTCAGAAGATGTTCTAAGGCTAAAACTCTTGGGCCACCCCAGTTACTCTCTGGGACGCAAGGAAAGCTTACCAGAAAATTTGGTTGAAAAAGTATAAGTTTTGTTTCTACGAACTGAACTAAGCACTTATGGCTACAGCTGAACAGTCCTTTGAGAGCATAATCTGTAGGCCCCTAAAATTTTTGTCATCTTAATGATTCTTTGTGCTTCTTGTATGCCATAAAAAAATCCCTTTTTGCATTTCAGCATCTTTATTTCCTTTGATCTGTACACATTTCTCATTGACGCTAATAGAGAATGACACTGATGGGGAATATTTTTGCAACGGGGGAGCACAGAATTGTTATTCTGGCTAAAGCAAAAACATTATGAATTCAGCAGAATTTTTAAAAGGCTTTATTCAATGCTGTGGTTTTGAACATGATATTAGGCTTTTTCTTTCTTTCTTTTTAATTTTCATTGAGATTATGTCCATATTTTATCCAGGTTATTTTATTCTTGTAAAATGATACTGCAACCCACTCTAGCACGTTAACAACAAAAGAAATTCTCTAGCTTATTATAAACATCTTTCAAGAAACCAGAAGCACATGTCCTCTGGAAATAATTTTGCTGGTATTTAGGTTATTACAAAAATTTTCCCCAAACGCTGGAATTATTTTGTTATGTTCCTTTATACTCTAGTTTGTTTGCTTAGGTTTTCTAGAACGTTCTTCATGTGCCATGATGTGGTAACATCCTTGGGTTGTAGAATGCATTCAGAAATGTAGGAATCCAGGTGTGTCTCTCCAGTGACTGTTATCAAGTACCTATGCCCAGCCAGTGAAAAAAGCCCAGCTGTACCCTCAGTACAGTTGGAAGGAATATGTTTTTTTTCAAGCTGCAGAAATTTGGCAGGATGATAGGATGATGATACATACATGTATTTCCCCCAAACAGACTGAAAATTTTGAACCTGAGAAAATTTTTGACAGAAAATTAATAAATAAATAAAAAGAATAGGGAGGCAAACTTGCTTAAAATCAATTGAATGATTCGCTTAGATGAACTTGATAGGTTGATAATTTTCTTCTGTAATTGTTACTATTTTGTTGCTGAAACTTATTTGGCTGATTTATATTTCTCACTGAAAGGTCATTTAAAGGCAGGAAATTTGTGGGGGTTTTGTTTTTGTTTTTTGTTTTTTTCTGAGAAGGGCAAGAGGAACACAAATGGCAGACAGTTATGGGGTCTGTCCTGCCTGGCTCCTGAATGTGCCTTACACCCTGCCGTGGGCTGAGTTTGCTTTGTCCTTTAAAGTACTGCTAGGGGAGTTTGGGGCTTGAAAATTCTTTGGGTCCTATTTGATGGGTGATTTTCTGACTAAAAACTAACATATATCTGTAGATAATGTGTTTTCGGCAGGCTATAATGTCTTTTCAAGGTGAAATATGGTGGAGGAAAGAGTAAGATAGGGGAACAACTGCGAGACTTGAGACCAACAGCAAGACCTAAAAACCGCATCTACTGCCCGCACACAACATGGGGAGACTAGCAGTCACACTGAGGAAACAAAGCAGGTTTCGTTGTTTCAAAAGGCTTTTTCCTGCTCCCCTCGAAAGAGTTTGAACCACATCTGAGGTTTCATGGACTTTTAAAACTCTGTTTCTCTCCGTAGTGAGACCTGACCTATGAGGAGAGACTGGCCAAGGTGCAATCCCTGTAGGACTGGGGGAGGAGAGGTGAGCTCTCTACCCCTGCATCTTGCATAAGATCTTAATTGAGCTGTTCCCCAGTCACCTGGCACTGTGCCTGGGTATCCTGGTTTACACCCTGACCGTGCTTAAAATGTTAGAGAAAATTTACTAGCTGCTGGGGGACAGTTTCCCAGTGCTAATCCTCATCTGCAATGAAGCCATCGCAGAGGCGCGAGGAGTATTCACACCACCTAACTTTAGGCACCCACCTTCACTCAGGTGCCTATGTTAGGAAGTTAGTCAGCCTGGGCCCTCTGTGCCAGGAAGGGAAAAAGGGGTCCCCAAAAGGCAATTTAGAGCTTCTGCTCTGACTCACCTCGCTCTCTATCGCCTGTATAGGGAGCTTAGGAGAGCAGGCTCTTTATATAAGGAACTAAAGTTAGTTGATATAAAACTACCTCTATTCCCCCTGGATTTCTTGATCAGGTACTGATTTATTACTAAGGCACGAAAAGGTCTATTTATTTGGTTTGTCTGGCCAAAATCCAAAAACTTTTCAAACAGAAGCTCATAGGCAACCAACTGCCATACCAGTTCTTTCTTTGCTTATGTGAGCTTCATACATGCCTGTCACACCTGCAGCTTCAGTTACTGCTGACTTACACTACTGCAGGACAGAATCAGGTCCCATATGTCTGGCTTGAAAAAATCTCAAAAGGAGTCAGTTGTGATCCTGGCAGTAACTGATACTTTTCCCAGTGTTTCGGGTCTGAGAAACACGTGAGAATCAATGGCAGTTTCATTTAAGAAAGAAGTAAATTCATAGACACAGTGACTGTAAAAAAACAAAAGCTGGAAAACATAATCCAATGTAACCTAATGCTCAAAATGAAAAGGGCCAAGAGAATTCATTACTTTAAAATGAATTACTTAAAAAGATGATTTGTGTGATTTTAAAACCAACTTAGAGTCTTTGATCCTAGAATTGTGGCAACGTCATGGCAATTATACGGAGAGAAAATATGGAGAAAATAGTGTTATAGAAAACTACTTACCAGGATCAATTTTCTCTGTGGTTTCAGCAGCTTGGGCTTAGGAAAGTTATTGGCTATTGGAGCTATGAAAATAAATATTAAGATATTATTTCACACTATCATAATTCACTGTTACTTTTAGTATATATATTAACAATCTAAAAATTACTCATTAATAGCAGACCAGGAGCAAGTAAATGCATGTATTTATCCCAGAGTTTAACTGTATTCCAGATGCTTCGTTTGGAAAAAAAAAAAAAAGTTATAGAGCTTATAAATTAGAGGTCATAAAACTAAGGAATCTGATCTAGAAAACATGGCTTTTGTGTGCAAAAGCCAGTGCAAATATTCCTTTTAAGAACTGATCACTTGTAATCTAATGCATGGTAAATCTTCAGTTCCTTTCCTTCCCCTACCCCATTGAGCAGCCTGGCAGTAGCGCTCAGAGAACACGCTCAAGAGCTTATGTGACTGTTCCTGAAGTCAATTGCAAATTCTTTTTGAAAATAAGGTCCTCGGAAGCTTGGTCTTTATCTGCTCAGCTTACACAACCCCTGCAAGGGCACCCACACTTTTTAAGAGAGCAGTATGCTGACCTTCCCTCAAGATGAGATTTCATCTTGCTTAAATTTAATCTTCTCTTTGGATGAGGATAATATTGTCCTAGAGGTTCTGCTCTTGCTCCCCGCTGATTCTGGTGGGAGCTGAGACCACTTGATCGAAGCAGGGAACCAGCCTTTAGATACCTGATGTTAATGGGTGGTGAGAGCCTGGTCTCAGCAATGGGCACGGGCCATTTCTTCCCCGCAGGAGAAGTGGCTGCAGGGTGCTCTATGGGCAGATTCAGTGACACTGCAGGAGTCCTGACCGCCCAAGCTTTGCTGTCCCCACGCACCAGTGCTCTGGATTTGAAATACTTCTGCATCCCTGTTTTCATACCTTTTGCTGGGATGGCTGGTGGCTGCTCCACTTTTTCTTTCTCTTTCTTTTTCTTTACTTTCTTGGGCTGTAGTGGGGACAGGCTTGTCACACTGGTAACTGTCTCCCCTGAACTGGAAAGCAGAGGTCCATGTGTGAGTGAAAAGTGAAGGCAGTGGTAGGAAGGACAGTCTACTCCATAGAACATTGCATGCAGGATGATGATGTACCCCTGAGGGCCAGAGGCACGCACAGTTTCAGGGACTTGCATAAGCTCAGTGAGGAAGCATATAGCAAAGCAAAATCTTCAACACAGTTTCTGGGTCAAGTGGTAGCAGATCAGGGAAGTGTGCAGCCTGCGTTGAGTGAGATGCAGTCCTTCCAAAGGCCTGCAAATCTATCTACGAAAAAGCTAGCCTTTTCAAGAGGCCAGTGTGGGCGCTGCATGTAAAACAGAGAAATAGTACGTTTCTTAAACACAGTACTTCACATTCTCCAGGACATACAGGTATAAGAGAAGAGTGCAACAGCTACATTGAAAACCCTCTCCTGTCCAAGAGAGCTTCTGCGTTTTGGATTATTCTTCTCTAAATATAATAGTTTTTTGTTTTTTGTTTTTTCTTCGTAGCATCTCCAGAGTCTAAGGTAGTATATCCTGCTTTGAGCAGTTATGAGCTTGGCTATGCTGTCAAGTTGCAGTAATTTGTTTTAGTTACTGTGTGTCAGGTAAGTATTGGGAACTGATTGTGTGGCTGTGTTTAGCTTGCGACTAATGCAAGGTAAAACTCTATTGACTTTACTGGTAATGAAAGAAATCTCAGAGCTGAGGTGGGAGGACAGTGTACAGCAGTCAGTTGTGACAGCTCAAATGATGGAGGTGACTTTGTAAGTCAGGTACGTCTGACTATGGGTTCCTCACAGGTAAGATGGAGGGTCAGGAGACCCCTCTGTTCTGTGTTGGGACTTGTGTCACACAGTGAGATCCCACCAGGCTCTCCATCATAACAATACTGACAACTGAATCCTGTGAAAATCGTTTGTCCCAAGCTGTTTTCATTTGTCCATGTTGTTTTTATCTGGGTTATTTCAAGTAGTGAAACACTCTTTTTACCTTAGTAGAACAAAATATTCGAAGTAGGCCAGTCTTAATGAAAGTTGTCTGAGCTGTTGCCCACACAAGAATAGCCAAGTAACAGATGTTACCACTTTACACAGCTTTAAGTCAAAATGAAAGTGACTGCCATTGGTGAAATCATGCTGGGTTTGCACTTGCAGAGAATAGAAAAGACTGTGGGTTGCTGATTTTGCTAAGTTCTGTTCCATGTATCAGTCCAAAACGTAAATTTGCTCCCAAACATTTTTAAGTGTTTGAAAGATAAAATCTTTTCATGATTTATAAGTAAATCATGTCAATTAGGTGCTATGTTATGTTGCACAAAAATAAATTCAAAGTCTGCCTGAATCTATCCCACAACAACTGTTTGTTGTTGTAAAAAATCGGAAAGTGAAATTGTTTAAAACCAGCAGGAAATGATTCTGTCCTGCCTAGTTCCATTGCCCAAAGATAGAACACTGCAAAGAACAAAAAATACCAAAAATAAGGGATGATAATTATATTTTAATCTTTTAATTTTAACAATCCAAAGTCATTAAGGCATATGTGTGACTTAAATATATTATTATTATGATATTGCTTCTTTAAGCATGGTAGATGAAAGGGTTCACTGTCAATTCACTACATTAGTTATTACTCCTGCTCTGTCACTGAGATAGAGAAGCTACAGAGAAATGTATTTGTAGCTTATGCTTTTCTTTGGAACACCAGGACTGTTTGGGGTTAACACACACTGTAGCTCTACTTGCAGCCTCAGAGGGAGTTCCTCAATCCAAACAAGGCTGCTCAGAAAAGACTCCTTGGCTCTGACACACTGTGTCTTTGTGTGCTTGTCTTTTTCTATGTTGAAAAGAGAAGTCGCTTTTTTTTATCTCTAGCTCCTCCTCCAGCCTCCTGGGTTGTGTTTGAACAGTGTCACATTGTGCATTTCTTGGAGCAATGGGTGTGTTTTTTTGAGAGCAATAAAAAGGCAGGAGCTTGGGGAAAAAAACCACCTGTGGAAGGTGGCTCCCAGCAGGTTCCCTGCAGGCAGCGCCTGGTGTTTCTGGAGCAAGTGTGGGTTTGTTTCCAACGACTGCAATCTCGGGCTTTAATCTCCTCATTAGGGTCAAGGCTGCAGCACTTTTCCTGAGTTTAGCGATATTCCTGTGTGTATGAGGGACAGCTCAGCTATTCCCTTTCCTCAGGAGTCTGTAGGGAATTCACCCAAGTGTTGAGCACTGCAATAACATCTTCCAAATGGGGTAGTGGTGTGAGGAGCCAGGGGAAGGCTGCGCCGAAGCTGCTTATATGCTTTGGATCCCTGCCCTGGAAGCGGGGTGTCAAGAGGGACAGCTTTCCGAGGGGAACGTATGTGGGTTTGTTTGTTTGTTTGTTTTTCACCTCTTTTACCTCAAATGATTTGTCTCTGAAAAAGCAGTTGCTGAAGTCAAGAGGAGACCTCAGAGGACCCAACCAAAGAGGCCAAGCCAAAACAAATAAATGACAGAAAAGAAAAATCTCATTTTCAAAGCTTTGCTTCCTGGGAGGTTTTGATTCTAAAAGCTGACAAAATGATCTAAAGACAAGGGAGATAATAACAAGGAGGATATTTAAGGGAGGAAAAAAAAAAACAGGAAATAGAATTAAATGGTTTAGAAAACTGAAATAACTGTATTATTTATATAGGTATTTATTTTTAAAATGTGGGAAAGAAATGGGTTTCAGCTGACTTATTTTTCCCTGTAATTTCTTATTGGTCAAGTAGCAAACCAAAACTCAACCATTTGCTTTGTACTACTGAAGAAATCTGGATTTAATTTTCTTTTCTACCACAGCCATGCTGTGAGACCCAGGGCAGATCACTTAGTACTTTGTTCCTTAGATTCCAATTAAGAAAAGCTCCATTAGGATGCGAGAGCATGAAATCTTTCGAGATGCCCAGGTGTTTCTGCAGTGGGAGCACAGACACTAGGCTGTCAATGTAATTTTGAAACTGGATTCTGCTCTCACTTTGAAATATCACTAAGGGAGCTGGAGCTCAGCCTCTCTAATCAAGGTTGATTTTATGTAGCAGAGTCATTTTGAGTTGCTGGAGTCTCCTACAAACTAGTTGGTCAGACTGACCGAACGATGTTTTGTGTTGCAATGGGCTGAAGGTCTATGGAAAACTGACAAATATTTTTGTAAGAATAGGCAGGTGAAGAGAAGCTAGCTTGAAATGTGTTCCCCACTTGTAAATGAGATCTGATGAAACTTTCCGAGATTCTAGGTTGGTCTGGGGACACTAAGAGGACTTTTCTTGTTTTGCTCTGCAGGCAGATGGGGCATCTTTATGCCTCTTTATGCCTCTCAATTCCTCTGATGCCTAAATAAGAATAGGCCAGTGAAGAGAAGCTAGCTTGAAATGCGTTCCCCGCTTGATGAAACTTTCCGAGATTCTAGGTTGATCTGGGTACACTAAGAGGATTTTTCTTGTTTTGCTCTGCAGGCAGATGGGGCATCTTTATGCCTCTTTATGCCTCTCAATTCCTCTGATGCCTAAAACTTTCACTGAACTTCTAAATGTTGTCACTGCCCATCTGTGGCACTGCTGCCGTTCGTCTGGGACTGACGCCGCAGCCCTGTGCGGTGTCACGGCTGCAGTGATGGGCCGTATCCGCACCCATACAGGTGGCACCCCTTCCTTCCCGACGGTGGGACAGCCCACAGCAGGCACACATCTGGTTGAGCCAGAATGTATGATTTACTTGTCATTCAGGATCTGGTTTTGTGATGCCTTGAAGCACATTCATGGTCCTTGGCTGGGAATGAATAGGGAAAAAAAAGTTTTGATTCAGCTGTGTATGATAACATAGATGATAGTTTATGTCTAAGATGGATGTGCTTACGCTACATTGGAGTGTCAGCAAGGTACTTAGGCATGTGCTTAACTTGAAGTATGGGAACAATCCTAAAAAGCTCAAAGGACTTAATGGTTCATGTTTTGAGCAGAGGTTGGAAAATAAAAGGTATAAAATTTAACACATAACTGAAAATCTTGATACTGCTAACATATTGAGAAGTATTTATTTTTAAAGCCCTGAAATCAATGCACTTCAGGCATGCATTTATATGATCAAGGCTTTCATTAGCACATTTTGCCACACTGAAATTAAACTGCATTTTTTTTCCACTGAGGGTCATGTATTACTTTTGCTTCCAGAGATTCCATTTTACAGTGAAGAAATCATGTTGGGTTGTTTTCCCCTTCTATTCAGCCAGCTGTGTTTGGTGTTTGCAGTGGTATCACTGCCACAATGTGTATTTCCAGAGAGACATTTTCTGTAATATAATGAATCTTTTTATCTGACTGCCTTGTTCCATTTTTTTTTCATCACTTTGACAGTCATCTTTTCAATTGATTTTCTCTTCTTGTGTTCCCTATCAATCTACTTTGATTTCCTTCCCCCTGCCCCTTCCTCTTTTGTTTTCTAATACCAGATTTGTCCCAGGAGCTAATAAATGAGGAGGAAAAAAAAAAACATTCAGGGAAAAATGAAAATTGCTGAGCTGTCTCTATGGATTTGTGGAGTGGTGCAATAGCTGGTCAGGGTCACAGAACAAAGATCTTCCAGTGAATAACATCAAAGTTTCAGTTCATACTGCCCTCTCCTGAACTCTCTGCTGCTTTATTGTGACTTTGTTTACTCCTTGGTGTTGATTAGAATAAATACAGCAATTTTCCCATGAGAATGCAGTAAAAATTACTTTATTTCAGGATCCAGGACATGCTATACTTGGCTTGGAATCTGTGCTAAAAAGATACTTTGAGAAATTGTATCTCTGATACCTAGTGATACTGGATTTAAACTACAAGACCAGGAGCACGTGTTTTATGTCATTGCAAACTGAGAAACAGTTGTACTCTTGCAGTGTTATGAAGCATCCCTCTTTAATCATTTTTGCTCATAAAATACTCTGTCATCTTTCTTTTACTGCAGTTCCAGCACAGTTCTATCTCAAGAAGCTTGTAAGTTGGAAACTCGTTAAGATACCACCGTGCAAATCAAACCTTTTGGTTGTCAGTGCTATAACAAGGGTAATGATGAATGGCTGCAACAGGAGTAGTATCTTTCTCATCATTTAGAGTCTTCAGCTTATGACAGACCTAGCAAAAATCTGCTTTCTAGCCCCACTCCACCTTCCTGGGTACAGGAATTACTCAATAGCAATAACTTAGTGATGTGGTTTATTCTGTATAGGATGGTTTAGGTCACTCATTGCCAGCTGGTAAGATGTTGGAAACCCTAGGAAGTAACACAGGATTAAAGTAGGCCTCTCCAAAAAGTAATTTGGAGCATTAAGGCCGGGTTAGTCACCTGCAGGACCCACAGCTAGATGGATTGGGTGGATCCCACTTACCACACGCAGGAAGTGTTGGCTGAGGTGTTGGCTTTCAGGCATTTTGGAAAGAATAACTCATCTTTTTCACTGTACATAGCAAAACCAAAACAGAACCGGTGCCTCGGGTTACAGTAGAGAGAAGCGTAATCTCCTACCTGTTCTGCGGGCATTTCACCAGGTAATGCTTCACTGTTAAAGACAAAAACAGAAAATGTGGCTTTACACCAACAGAGTTTATGAATTACAAATGGACACTGCAGATAAACCTGTGCTCCTGAGACTGTGGAGATGCCTGCCTGTTACAGTCAGAGAGCTTTTAATCCTAACTGCATATTATATTGTAAATTAAAGTCTAACTCAAAGAGATAGGCCGGTTTGGGAATGGTGGATGTAGCAAACAACACCAAAAATCTACTGTGGAAGTGCTGGGCAGCTTGCATTCTAGTGGTTAGCCCAGAGATCAGATCAGATGTCTGCTCAGGCCAATGTCCTGTCTCTCAGTGTGTGTGAGCTGTATAAATCCTTCATGCTGCTTTAAATCAATAGCCCTGAGCAAGGGCAGCTTTCCCCCCGCAGTCCTTCAGGAGCCAGGGTTATCAGGATGCTCTTTCTGTGGCTCAGCATTTTCTGTGTTTAGCCCAAGTTGTGCTGCATGGCGAGTGTGGGTAAATGCAAGGAGGAGGAGAAGCTCTGACTGTTATCAACCTACTGTCAACTTATTCCTTGGGAGAACTAGCTGTTTCCCTCAGCTGTGATGTTTAGCCCAAGTTGTGCTGCATGGTGAGTCTGGGTACATGCAGGGAGGAGGAGAAGCTCTAACTGTTATCAACCCACTGTCAACTTATTCCTTGGGAGGAGAACTAGCTGTTTCCCTCAGCTGTGATGTAAAGTCTAATGTAATACAGACCCACTCTCTTAATTTCCTCTGTTCCTTAAAAGGTCAGGAAAAACAGACAACACTGCACTTAGCATAACTGTGCCCATCTGCACAGAAGCATGTTCTCATCTTGTCTTAAGTAAGTTCTGCTATTCTAAGAAAACTCTGAGGCTCCTCAAAGGCTGAATTTTAGTCCTAAAAGAGATTTGAAAACACCAAGAGGCTAGTGCTTTCTAGCCTTTCATGGCCAGGTATCTATATCTAAGTTGGCCAAGGCAGGTTTTCCATCTCTGCCTGGTTTCTTTACACTGGTAAAGACTATTACCATGGGGTGTATGGAAGCTGGAGACTACTCCAACTGAGGTGGTTATCCTCTTAAAGTCCTGGAGAAATAGGAAATGTTCTCAAGATCATCAAGAAAAAATCTAGGGCAGAGACATTCCCAGGAAACTTCAAATTATAGAAATCTCAAGCCTAAGTGAATAATTGTTGAAGTTGTTTGTATCTTATATTAGGTAATCATATGCAGCAAATTCTCATTGCTTTTAATGGCAAAATACTAGGAGTCAAAATATTTCAGCCAAAATCAGAACTGCCTTTGTTCAAAGGGGTGCCACAGTACCACTTAGGAGTACCACTTCTTTTTTCCTCTGTGAGCCAAGCTCTCCATCAGATATATTCTTCACAACATACTGCTTTCTTCAGGAAGTAGCTCCGGGTACTATATGGGGAATACAGCCAGGTGCAATAGCCTGTCTCTGGAGACTTAAGGCACTGGTGCTTTGGCTCCCATTTTGAGTTTAATCCAAAAGACTTCAGTCTTACACTGCGCTTCAGTTTTCAGGCTTTTAGCTTTTCAACAAAAAAGAGTGTAATTTTTTATTCAAAGGAAATGCTCATGAACAAGATTAGAATACTTTTGACTATCTCTAAGCATGTATTATGTTGCCCTGATCTAGAGAGGATTCCTCAAGCCTTTGAAAAGCAACTTCTCCTGTAACAAAGGCATGGGCACAAGCTTCTACCTAAACCACAGAGGGTTTACTAGCTGAGAGCCCTGAGTTAGTCAGGTTTGGTCAGGTTTTACACACACAGGCTCCAAAAGGATTGTCTGCAAATCCCAACCTTTAATTTCATGTACAAGTTGTGTTTTCTTCCAGGCTAGGTTGCCCTTGCAGGTGGTTGGGCAGAGATCTCCCTCCCTATTCTCCTGTGCTTATTTGGGTATTTGCCTCTCCCCCTATATGTAAGGTGGGATTGCAGGTGATTCTCCTTGTGGTGGCAGGGTTGAAGAATGGCAGAGGAAGCTGAGAGCTGATGAGGCTAAGCGGAGGTCAGGGAGAAACTCAAGAGGGGGTGGTGAAAGGCTGGTGGGTGTTGAGTGGTGGGAGCAGACAGTAGAGGAAGCTGTTGGTGTCACTTTGCCTTGTTTGATGATGTGTTCCCATGACAAGGATTGAGTAGCAGGAGAGCTTCAGGAAGAAGCTTTGACAAAAATTGTCCAGCAAGGAGATGTTCTTGATTGTCCTTGGTCCCTGACCTGCTCTCCAGAGAAACAGCAATGCCAGGCTTCTCTTGGAGGCCCTCTGAGGAAGATGGTATCATGATCATCTGATCTGAAAGTGGAAGAAGACTGGACATGGAGCGTGGCTGAAGGCCCAGGGTGAGGCTGAGGGATGACTGCTTTTCTGTGCAACTTCTTTGTCGCCTCCTCAAGGAAGGATGGGCTTTACGATTTCACCGGAGAGTGTTTGTAGTATGTATATGTAATACCAGGATCTGCCTATTGCAGTCCAGGATGGTGATATGGAGTGCCAAAGAAGGAGAGAAGGTAAGATAACACTTATGCATTAATATTTTACACTAAAGTACTGTTTTAGGGAGGGATGCCTTGATCTAATGAGAGAGAGCAGCTGTCAGCCGCAGGCCAAGTACCTCCAGACTCTAATCGTTTGATGGTGCCTGGAGACAGGGGTAGGTGAGCGCTGAGGAGCAAGGGGGCATGTTGTGCGCAGGCCTCCTGCTTTGGCCCAGCAGCGGATGGCTGCTGGGCACTGCATTCATCACCGAGGCTGCCTCCTCAGCTCCTCTGGGAGTATTTGATTTCCTGTTGCTTAACTGATTGTTGGACCAGTTAATGTAGGCTCAGGAAAATACTTTGATTAGGTGGTCCTAGCTCAAAGTCTTGCCCAAAATCTAATCAGTTGCATGCTGAGTGATTCTTGTCTAAGCTTTTCTCTGTTACATTTCTGTTGAATTTGTAAGTTTTATGTTGCCAGTGTTTACTGGATGATGTTCAAAATCTAAATAAATAGTGGTTAGGCCTGAAATTAATCAGATATTAGGGCTGTGAAGAAAGAATTTAGCAACTCGGAGGAAAAGATTTTATATTGTATGTGCACATTCCATATTACATTCTGTATTATTTCTATATTCAACTTGTATTAGTTCAGCCTAAAGAGCTTTTCTCCAAGCTGCTCATTCACTTACAGCAGTGAATGTAACCAGATGCAAAACCTAGCCCAATGTCTGCTAAGGAACACCCAGAATAAATCAGCATGTCTAGTGCTTGTGGCTTCAGGGTGACTCACCATGACCAACATACTTAAATGTGGGTACTCTCCTGGCACTCAGCCGTTGTCATCACTTAACAGGGTAGGAAGAGTAACACTGATTTTGTCTTCCTGCTGCCAAGAGGAGTTGTTGGGTTAAATTAGAGGGAGGGTTACTCTGAGCGGGCTACCAGGAAAATGGAGCCTGCATTATGATTGCGGTCAGGCACAAACTGCTCCATAAATCTGTGTTTTGTCTTACATGTCTTTTCCCTTGTGTATCTGAGTCACAATTCCTTCATGGCACATGTGTTAGTGCTGAAGCAGTAACAAGACCATGATTCTCTCTTGTCATTAATATGACAAATCACTAAGCAAGCTCTTTTTCAAACCTTCTACTAGGAGAAAATGTAAGAACCATCTCGCAACGTGCTGGCTGCTTCGCATGCTGAGGTACTATCCTCGCAGCTTTTAATTACATGTGATATCTTTACACAAACTACTCCTAAGTTGAAATGAAAGGGCTTGTGCTGGTTACTGCATAGGTCTGAAACTACACTTTTGATTACAGCAGGGTCTGCTTCTGTGCAGTTTGAGCCTCTCTGAAAAACCCTCTCTGAGGAAGAGAAGATTGAAATGGTAATCCTTGATAGTACTATTAGGAAAATGCACATCTGAATCATGAGATAATACTTTAGGCCCAAAGAATGATATAAACAACAGAGGTAATAACTCCCTCCCTTTTCCCCAACCCACCCCAGAACATTGATAGCTGTTCAGGAAGGGGTTAGAAAGTGTAATAGAAGGCAAGCCTCTTTGAAGCCCCTCTAAACTTCTATTTAAAATCAAGGCAAGGTGATATTTCTCTTTCCTGCATATGCTGCCTTCTCCTTTTTCCCTTCTCTCTCTCTGGCAAGGGTCCCAGGATCAGGAAGAATGACATTTCACTTACCTGTGGATCTCTTCTTGTTTAGAAGTGATTGACAGAGAATGACAAGCGTAAAAAGGAGGACACTGATGATTCCTATTGAACACACAAACACTGCATACACATACAGATCTGAAAGCCAAGCACATAGAGACTCCATGTTGTAGATGTATGCTCCATGCTTGCAGGGCAGCAAAAAGTTTTGTGTACAGGACCTAAACAGACCTCTCCCCCGAAGATTTAAGGTAACACTTCAGAAGTCATTTAACCCTCTCGAGACTTTTATATGCTACTTTATTTATTTTAGGTAAAGTCTCAAAAATGCTAATAGGTGTAGTCCCAGGGGAGCTTGGCAGGAAGGAGAAGGCTTGTTTTTTTTTTTTTTGTGGGGCTACCAAAAAAGTTTAAGAACTTCAGCTGGATCATTTCCCCAGTTCAAACAGCTGTGATGTTTTATAAAAAGAAAAAAAAAAGGGGGGGGGTGGGAGATCAGGAAGTGCTGTGTGGCTGGGGAAGGAGAAATGAAGGCTGTGACCACTTCTTTTGGCAGCATCACTGCCTTTCGTATTTTTTTTTCCTTTTTTTTTCCTTCCCTTTCTCTACTTCTAGCCTCAGTATCCGCTTTCTGTGGCTTTCATTCAGGTGCCTAACACATTACTCCTGAAGTTGACAGTACTTCTACCACTGCAGCTCAAAAGAAAATATTTTGTACAGAAGCAGAAGAAATTTTAATGACTTATTTCTGCTTCTTCTAAAACTCTATTTAAGAATATTCTGTTTAAGGATGCTTGACCCATTAATGTCTTGAAATCTCCTTAGGGACTTCTTCCCTGCTTTACAAAGAAGAAACAAAGCTTCAGAGGTCAAGGGGTAGTGTAGAAAACAGCAATGCTGCATCTAGACCCCTAGCCTACAGTTCTGTGTTTGGTTTACAACCTCTTTCTCTTTAGAGCAGTAAAACAATATAGTTGTAAAATAAATCGAATTTAAATATTAAAATAAATATAAATTGCGGTCTGAGCAGCAAGGCTTCCCACGTTGTCGAGGCAAGCCTCTAAGTGAAGCCTCCCACCGCGCAGGCAGGCAGTGGGGTGGCAGCAACCAGTCCCGCTTGCACTTTGCTGGCACTTTGTACTGGGTCAAGAGGAGAAGGAATTCCCACTGGACGGCCGGTTCTGCATTTCAGATTCCTGTAACAGATGTTCACTGATCGACACAGAAACCCTGCTTGCCTTGAAATTCAAGAGAGCTTAAGACATTCTTGCAGTGCTGACGGGTCAGTGAGCAGTAAGGCTACTGGGGGCACGGGGTGCTTCAGACAAGTTCAGTAGTTTCGTGGACAAAGCTCTGCACTGCACTACAGACAAGGGTTATTTCCCCACTGACCATAATGGATATATGAAAAACTGCAGGGAAGGCCTTATCTTCCTTTTTCTCCTACAGTGTTTGTATGTTGGTGAATGTTTTCTGAGGCAAGGCCTGAGTTTGCACAGGAACTAGCAAAACTGGGCCTGATTTTGGCAGTAGTGTTGTACTGGATTTGGGGATTAGACTGGTAACACTTGTCTTTACCTTCAAAAAACTTCCAAGCTTCATGGTTTTTTTTGAAGGTGGGATCATCTGAAGCTCTTGGTGAAATCACTGGGGGGAAAAAAAAAAAAAAAAGGACATGATGACAACTGAAAATACAAGGTGTAAAATGTTGAGACTTCTTGAAGTAAATGGTAGCTCTGCCTAATACACCGAGATCTTATTTTATCTCATGGGTAATTACCTTTCAGCCATACACTGTGATTATAAAATGTCTTGATAAAAGTGTTTGCCAGCAAATCTCATCTTGTTTGGCATCCCCAAGGAGTGTCATTTAGCTTGAGTGTTGTGTCAGTGTGTTTAGTCTACAGGTAGTCCTGCCTTCCTCTCTTATCTCAAGTTTCCTGCTGCACTTTGGATTATATTTGAAGCAGAGCGAGTCAATGCAGTTGTCCAGACACTTTTAGAAAGACCAGTTTATGAGTCTGAATTCCTCCCCCTTCTGATTCTGCATTTATGAGGAGCACTAAAAATAAGGAAATCAAGAAATAAGTATTTAAGGGCTGAACTATAGAATAACTTTCTTTTTTGCAATAACTAATACTGACCTGAACCCCAGACTTCAGCTAGGAAGAGCACAGAAAGATTTCTGTGTTATAGCTATCAACCTATTCAGCTATGATTGATGAAGTGACTTTTTGCAAGAGAAGGAAGGTGGTGAAGGATTGTAGATTCGCTTTTATTCTACTGAAATACTGAAGCTTACCTAGAACCTTTCCCTTTTCAATCAATCTAGAGAAATCCATATTTTTTCCCACAAGCACTTAGGAAATCCTGTTATCAATCTATGGAAAAAAAAATGCTGACCTGGCTTATGAAATGAGGATAAGGAAAAGCCCTTATCTGATAAGCTCTTTTTTTTTTCTTCTTCTTCTTTTTCCTCTGGAGCACTCTGGAGTGTTCTGCACTCCTTCAATATTCTTCAATATATCTCTCAGGCTATCTTTCAAATCATTCATGCAAGAAATGCAGTAGTTGTCCACTCTGTCATTTCATGTGCTACTTTTGGAGATGGCTACCTGGTTTGCTACAGAGGACCTGAGGGAAAATGTCAGGACAGTGTAAGCCCCCAGTCCTTTCCTCCTTCACTGCTTCCCTGTCTTCTAGCACTGGATCTGGCCCTTTCCTCAAGTGATTTTTCAGAATTTCTTTCCCTAAACTGACACATAAATCTCTCTTCTCTGTAAACTTTGTCCTGTCTCTTGACTTTCTGCAGTGGCTCCTAGACTTCTCTTTTGTTGTGGTAGTTGTGGTGAGCCTGATTTTCCAATGGGAATTTTGTTGCTTGAGGTAAACAGCTGGTTGCCTAGAGGCAGCAGTGTGCAAAGGGAGGGCAGAAGCGAGAACTGCCGTGATCCTCTGGCAAGTGTTGAGTGTGCTTCAACGAGGTAAGTAGATGCACTGGGTCTTGAGAGAAGAGTGGAGGTTGGTTCTTGGTGCAAGGTGCTATCTGAGCTATTAGTTAGCTTGGGATGGAGGTGAAAGTATTTTTCCCTCGAGGAGGCTTTGGGGTTGTATGGTGGCCTTCTAGGCCTGCTCTTAGGCCTGCAAGCTTCTGTGCAGTAAGCGCTTAACCCTGCCCACCCATCCCTGATGTAGTAGGAAGTAGCAACTCCTGTTAGGTTCAGCCTCTCTTCTTCCTCTAGCACAGCATTTGCACCATTAGTTTTTTGGGCATTGAGACTACAGCCCTCTGTCAGCTGCCATTTTGCCCTTTCGCAAAGCTATAAGGCTGAGGTGGATGGACTGATCAGTTATCCTTTTTCCCAGTTCTTTCCTATCTTTCCTGCATCTCTCTAGCTGGCCAAATCCTGAGTGAAGAAAGGGAAAGGGATAGGGAGAGGAGCTATTTCTTGGTTAAGGTTATGAACAGGGAAGAACTGCTGAGCATAAAGCAGGTAAAAGCCTGAACTCTGCAGGGCTAAATCATGGTAAAATAAAGTTTCATTTCATATCCCTGTGTGGTTAAGAGACTAACCACTGTGTCTTGACAGCAGCCACACAACATCAGGACAGTGCTTGTAAAACTTAATGCTCTCCAGCGATGGAAAATGGCCGAGTTCAGGAGATGTTGGGCTCTGGTGGTCTTATTCCTCACTATTTAAAAGCAAAAGAGTGCAAACAACAAAAATCTAACTAGAAATTGTTGTTTGAAATGTGAATCTAATGAATTCTGTGTTCCATATCCTAGTGACTTCCCCCTCCCCAGTAACCTAAGTATTGGCCTTCTCTTGTGACATTTCTAAGAGCCCTTAAACTGACTGTGACATGGGAGGTCATCTCCCACAGGGCAGATCAAGAAGAAGAGTTACCTGCTTTGCTCACAGCTTTCCCTCAGTGAGGGTGTTAATGGGGATATTCTCTCCCTCTCCCTACCCATGAGCCAATTTCACATGAGTTGTACAAAAGTAGCATCTTTAAGACTTAGAGTTTTTGAAATATGATGAAGTTTTCAGTAAATTCCCACTTCCCTGGTTTTCTGTGGGGGGAGGCGGGGGCAGGGAAGTGTAACTGGTAAAGTTATGATCTGGGTGCTAAGGGGGTGGGCTCCTTCCTGGAGAAGGTAGGCAGGGAATCAAGATCACAGCTTAGACCTCAATCCTGCTCTTTACTAGGAGGGATAGAGCTTTTTTAGGTAATTTCTGGCTGTCTGCAAACAGGATGCGAAGGAAATCCTGTTAGAATGTCTCGGAGGCTTCCCAGACAAGATTTGCAAAATCAATAAGATGAAATAGTTTAGACTAGGATTTTGTTGTTGTTGTTTACAGCTGATCCTTGCTCTTTGCTACTAATCCAAACTGAACTTCAGTTCTATTAGTGTCTTTCATCATCACTACTAATAAGCAGCTGATGACATTATGTTAATGCCATGATTTATCAAGGGAGTTTTAAACATTCTTGATCAAAACAAAGCAGCTATTTAATCTTTTGTTATATTGTGTTTTTCTCATACTTCAGGAAATCTGATAGATAAAAGCCAAAGCTTGTGACATCAGAGAGCTATCCAGAGGGGACTGTGCATTTGCAAAGATCATCTTTTACAGTCCCCTATGTCTCCTGATGTGTTTATAGTCCAAAAGAAATATAGATACCCTAATGACAGCAGTGAAGTTAGCACTTGAGGGAATGTGCTTTGATTTTAGACTGCATAAATAGACTGAATCCATCTTGAAAATACCTCTACTCAGTGGAGCTAGGGCCAACAATTGGAACAGCCTTTGTGATTTAAACTCAGCAATAGCATCAAAAGCAGTGAAAAAAACTTCATTAAGTATTGTTTCCTCCCACAAGCTTTTCTGTGATTGCTGGATAAACCTCCAAATATTTGAATTTTGGTTTGAATGATCTCTGTATTTCCAGACCCACAGACCAAGTGGTCATGCTTTCTTGCATTATCTTTAGAGGAGGTCCTATGGGAAATAAATTCTATTTATAAAATCACAAGCCGAGAGCTTGTTTGTCAGCTAGTGCTAACAGTAAGGATGCTGAGCACAGCTATCTCTACAAAGGAGTCTGTTCTCTAAAATCCACTTTTAGCTCTCTGAAAGTGTGCACATGCTGGCATTAGGCTTGAGCCAACCCGTCTTGAAAAGAAGCCCCATTTCCAAGTTGAGATTTATGGTTTAGAAAATCTCATTCCTCTCTGGTCAATTTTTAATCTAAAGTTCAAAATAAATGGGCTGATCACTGCTTTTCCAGCTCAGTTTTCTGGCTACAGTTGTACAAACAAAAGTACAGAAGTGACATTACGAAGGCAACTCACAAATTATGTGTAGACTAGAAGTAAAAGTGATGAACATACTGAGAGGCAAAACATAAATGCAAAAGAAAAGCTTCTATTTTATATGACCTTCTGCATATTTTTGGGGAAAAAAAAAAGTTAATTTCTCTCTGCTTTTGTCTTTTTTATTTAAATAATAGCTGTATTTGTTTATTCCCAGTCACATAGTTCTGGAGACTTGTAGTTGAATGTAACAGAGTATTAATTACTGCCTGTCTGGTGAAAAGCAAGAGAAATGGGATATCTTCTAGAAATCTACTAGTCTTGTCACTTCTTTACTAGGGACTGAATAATGTTTAAATTGTAACGTGAATAAAAAAGCTGACTATTAGATTTCCTTCTCAGATTCACATATAGCAATTAAAAATAACGTAGGAGACTTCAAATATCTTATGGATGAACTCGTTAGAGGGGGATAAAAAAAAA